TTATTATGCAATGTGATCAATAAGATGCAACTCTATTACATGACCTATATATTTATGGTTCAAACAGGGCATTCACACCAGGTGCTATTATTGTATTGTCTGTTGTCATTTTTTAAATTTGACTGTCTAAGGGAAAAGAGCTCAGTGCCCCTGACTAAATAGTCAGGTATTGCTTGTTTTAAATAAACACTACTATACTTTTTGGAAATTTTTCAGCCAGCAGTGAACTTGAGCCATCCCTTCTTGACTTGCATTTGTGCCTTAAAAGACTTAGTAAGAACTTGAGTAGTCATTCATCAGGGAGAGTAAAGACCATATATGATGGTTAATTTTATGTGTCAATCTGACTGGGCTTCAGGTTGCCCGAATATTTGGTTCAGCATTTTCTTGGTGTGTCTGTGAGGGTATTTCTGGAGGGATTAACAGTTGAATCAGACTGTGTGATGAAGATTGCCCTTCCCAGTGTGCCTCATCCAATTCATTGAAGCCTGACATAGAAAAAAGGTTCAGTAAGGGAGAACTCACTCCACCTAACTATCTTTAAACTGGGACATTGATCTCCTCCTGCCTTTGGATGAGGACTCAAACTGGAATTCACACCTTTGGTTCTCCAGCTTCTCAAATCTTCAGATTCAGACGGGAAGTAAATCATAAACGCTTCAGTTTCCAGCTTGCCAACTGCAGATATTAGGACTTCTCAGCTTCCCTAATTGTGTGAGGCAATTTCTTTTTTCAAGTTATTATTATTATTAATCTTTACCCAAGAATATGTTTTTATTGATTTATAGAAAGAAGTGAGAGAGAGAGAGGGGAGAGAGAGAGAGAGAGAGAGAGAGAGAGAGAGAGAGAGAGAGACATCAGTGTGAGAAACATCCATCAGTTGACTCCCATATGTGCCCCAACCAGATTGAGCCCCTGAAACCTAGGTATGTGCCCTGACCAGAATTAAACCCGAAACCTTTTGGTGTATAGGATGACACTCCAACCAACTGAACAACCTGGGCAGGGCATGAGCCAATTTCTTAACATCAATCTCCCTCTCTAGCCCTCAACTCCTCCTCCCCTCCCCATCTCTGCTCAATACAAATTTTGGTACTGAAAGTGGTTCGAGAGAAACAGAATGTTAAGGATGAATTTTCTGAATTGGTTCTGGGGTTCCTGTAATTTCTCTCTAATCTGATTAAAGATGCTAATGATTATGTTTCTAGTAGTAAAGATAGCACTGACAGTCCGTGGTGTGATTGGACAATAGAAATCCATAAAATATCTTCATTGGATACACCTGATCAACCACTTAAAAGAAGCAAGGATCTGAGTGACTGTGTATATAATACTTTTGAAAATTTTTGAAAAACTAACTAATATAATGAGATTGCTCGTTGCTTATAGTGTTGCAGACAAAGTGATGAAAGAAAAGAATGAACTCTGGGATTTTAAAAAATACCTTTATTGTTGAAAGTATTACATGAACTCCCCCTTTCCCTGCATTGACCTCTTCCAGTCCACTCCTGTCCCCTCCCCTCCCGAGGCCATCACCACCCCATTGTCTGTGTCCAAGGGTGATGCATATATACATACAAGTTTATTAGTTGATCTCTTCCCACCCACCCTCCCCTGCCTTCCCTTTGAGGTTCAACATTCTGTTCATGCTTCTGTGTCTCTGGGTCTATTTTTGTTCATCAGTTTATTTGGTTCATTAGATTCCACATATGAGTGAGATCATGTGACACTTATCTTTCTCTGACTGGGTTATTTGGCTCAGCTTAATATTCTCCATCCATGCTGTTGCTAATAGTAAGAGTTCTTTCTTTTCTATTGCTGCATAGTATTTGATTGTGTAAATGTATCACAGTTTTTTTTTTTTATCCACTCATCGGCTGATGGGCATTTAGGCTGTTTCCAAATCTTAGCTATTATAAATTGCACTGCTCTGAAGATTCGAGTGCATATATTCTTGCTGATGAACGTTTTGGATGAGCTCAGGGATTTGAATTCCCAACTCAAGCACCACATAAATGACCTGAAAGCTTCAATGTGTACCCTGAAGGAAGCCCTGTTTCCTGTAGCCCTGGGGCTAAGATTACTACAAATCAAACATAAACTCTTCTCCCATAATTTGCTGAATTACAACACAAGTTGAACTCCCAGCCTCATAGGCTTTTAAAGTGAGAGCTTTCTGGGCACACTGAGCTCCTAAATTCAGATGAATCTTCTTTGTCAGTGGAAGTGGCCTCCCCCAGTAGAACCAGTCTCCTCTTCAGTGGTAGCAACCCTTCCATCACCTACCCCACTCCGAGGGAATTAACTCTACTTGTCTGAGGAAAATAATGGCTTCCCTTAGGGCTCTTTCCTTCCAAGACAATGCTAATTCTCCTCAGGACCCACTCACCACTCTCTTTGTTTCTAGACCTATAAGTAGGCTCAAATTCCAGTAGGCCCACAGTGGTGAGGTAGAAAGTGTGACCTATAAGGAGGTGTGCTATACTCCAAAAGAACTACTTAAGTTTCATAATTTACTAGAGACCCGGTGCACGAATTCATGCACCAGTGGGGTCCCTCGGCCTGGCCTGGGGGATCGGGCTGAAACAGGCTCTCTGACATCCTTTGAGGGGTCCCAGATTGTGAGAGGGTACAGGCCAGGCCAAGGGACCCACTGGTGCACGATCGGGGCTGGGGAGGGACGCAGGGGGTTGGTCAGCTGAGGAGGTACCACAGGAGGGCTCCAGGGCATGTCCAGCCCATCTTGCTCAGTCCTGATCAGCTGGACCCCAGTAGCAAGCTAACCTACCAGTCGGAGTGTCTGCCCCTGGTGATCAGTGTATGTCATAGTGAGTGGTTGAGCAACCTTAGCATATCATTAGCATATTATGCTTTGATTGGTAGAACAGACAACCAGATGACCAGACACTTAACATATTAGGCTTTTATTATATAGGATATGAACAAAAATCCAGGGAACATGTGTAAGAATGGATTTTAAGGATGTGGGATCATGGTGGAAAAAAACATAAAATTGTATCAGGCCAAGCCCTAGCTGGTTTGGTTCAGTGGATAGAGCATCGCCTGTGGACTGAAGGGTCTTGGGTTCAATTCTGGTCAAGGGCACATGTCTGGGTTGCGGTCTCAATCCCCAGTAGGGGGTGTGCAGGTGGCGGCCAATCAATGATTCCTTCTCATCATTGATGTTTCTATCTCTCCCTCTCCCTTCCTTTCTGAAATCAATAAACATATACTTTTAAAAATTGTATCAGGCCAAAATTATCAATGTCTGGCATATTATAGGCCCTTAGGAGGGGCTGGGTCTGGCTGCAGTATCTGTTACACTGTTAAATCTCCAGAGTAAATCTGTGAATCTGGTTCAAATAGCCCCTGTCCTCCTTTTCTCTCACAGCTCGTAAGTATCCCTCCTTAAGCAGGAAGGGGGTTTGAAAAGCACAGATAGGGAGAGTGTGTTCTTTATTCAACAGTGGGTGAGGGCTAGAGACTCAATAAATTGTGGGATATTTTTTCTTCTTTTCTATATAATCATTTTCCAATATTCACCTCTTCTTTTCTTTGGCCATCTCTTCTTTAGCTATTTTGTTTTCTCCCAACCCCTGTAAACACACACACACGCGACACATAGATCAAGGCCAAGGTTCTAATCCTTTACTCTAAAGTTCATTACCAGGGTGCTCCAGACTAGTTTAATTTCCTTCTTGCCTGGTCTCAGATTTAAATTTATTCCTTGTATATGATCACAGCTTAAAGCAGCTCTCATCACGCACTTGTCCTTTATACATCCAGTATTAAGGCCCTTTCCCAAACTGTGGCACAAGAATGCAACCTTTGTTTTCAGCACATGCCCGGTCTTCCATCTTTCCTATTAGTTTATCCAGCTGATCTCAGAGGCCTACCGGCTTTTACTGGCCCTATGCTCGCAGACATAGAATTTCTTCAATTATGTGCATGGATCGGATGCATGATTCAATACATTACTTGCCATTTCATTCTTACAATATCTTACTGTTTATTTTTCTTCAGCAAATATTCATTCAGCTGAAGCCTATTGAAATTTGTCCATAGAACTGTGCTAGATGTTGTGGATATAAAACAAATAAAGCACTATTTCAGCCTAGGAGGTGCTCATAGTCCAGAAAGAAAAGGCAGCATGTAAACATGTATATTGTACTGTGATGTCAAGCAAAATGAACTTCCTCTGGAGGAGTTGATAGAAGGCCTCAGAGGATGTGACACTTCTAATAGTCTTGAAACCTACTAGAAAGTGGGAGTTGGCCGATCAGAGGATGGATGGGGAGAGAGTGAGGGTAAGGGCAGAATGGAGCATCAGAGTGAAGAGGATCCCGTGTGCAGAGGCACTGAAAAAAATTGAGGAAGATACTGATATTTTGGGGGAGATCTGATGGGCTCAGTGTAGTTGGATGTGTATTGGATTGAATAGTAGTGATCAAATTGAGAGGACCTGTATAGAAAGGATTGAATTTTATTCTAGAGGCAGGAAGAGAGAGAGAGGAAACTATTCAAGCAGGGGAGTTTAACAATCAGGTTTGTCTCTTACAAGTCTAATGTCACTAATCTAATTACATGGAGTCTGAGTGTCCTGTTTACTTAATCAGAGTTGCTCAGGGTAGCCTCTCAGTTGAGATACTGCTTTTTCTTCAGGTCTAGAAACAGCATGTTTTCAGTGTACCCAAAGGCTACTTAGTCTGATCCCAGTGCCCACTTGTGCTAATTCCCATAATTTATTACTACAACACTGTCCTCCACATGCCGTCTCTCCTTGGCCAGGTTGGACATATATTGACAGCCTTTGTCTCTTTGAGCTCTATTTTTCTGTCTTGACCCTTTCCTCTTGCAGTTCTGATGGCCTAGTAGTCTTTAAATGCATTGCCTGCCTAAGTTCTTTGGCCCATCCCTAGCTCTAGGACACAGCCAGCACCAGTAGCCACGCCCACTCAAAAAAAAGTTTGCCGACAGGAAGTTTGTCTGCACCAGCGAGCCGTACTGACGGTGGAAGTGCGCAAGCGCAGTTCCGGGCTCCCAGCGGCGGGGTCCTCTTTCCCGGGGTTTCCACCTTCCTGGCAGCTGGGCGCCGAGGCGTCGGCTTCTCTCCGCGGTTCGCTTCGTGGTCCGGACACTCGCCCCCAGCACCCAGCCCCTAGCACCCGAGCCCTGCTGTGGGTCGCACTCCTCTTCCGGCAACACACCCATGGCGGAGCGTGGGGAACTCGACCTGACCGGCGCCAAGCAGAACACCGGAGTGTGGCTGGTCAAGGTAAGGCTCGCGCGGCTCTGGCTTGCGCTTCTCCCGGTGTGAGTAGTTTAAGTTACTTCGTGCGCCTTTTAAAGTTCCTTATGGTCCTTTTCACACATCTTGGGAGGCAGGACTCTTCGCTACGCTCGCTTTCAGACCAGGAAATTAGTTTAGGGCACTGCAGTGTCTTCAGCCCGAGTCCGAACGGGCCTGGGATGGATTTCCGTCCCCCACCACCCGGGTTTTCTGGGGCTCTGTCTTGGTGTCCCGATTAGAGTAGCGCAGTTTACCCCAGGCCGAAGAATTTCTACACCTTCTTTTGGTGAAACTGATTTTGGGCATAAACCTGTTATGGAAGTGGAGAGTGTCTGCTTCCCGTAGAGTTTCCCTGCCAGAAAGTAGCACTGCTCTCCGCGTCCCCGCACAGGGGCTCGCGACCGATGGCCCTGCTGGAGGTCGCGGGAGAGCCAGGCAGCGCCGAGCCCACGCAGGGAGAGCCATTGGATTCGAGTGTTCTTCCAGAGCACGCTGGGTCTCCAGAAACAGACCGTCAAGAGAAGTGTTTTGTAAAGAGAGCAATCTTGATTAGCTCTTAGCGAGCACAGTATTTGTGCTGTACTTTTTCACACCGGTGAGTTTCTTATGAGAACTTCGTAAGATATATGTATGTTCAAAGTGTGATTATGAGTCTTTGAGCCTCTAGGAAAATGGTTTGTTAAATTTTATAAAACTTTTATCATATGGCTGGGTTGTCAGGTAGATCTGAGAGGCTCTTCCAGTCCACCTTTCTAAAATAGCTCATTTGCCAGCCGGTCATACCTGGTATTCTTCAGAGCACTTTTCACTTCTGAAGTGATTCTGTGTTCACGTGTTCAGTGTTGGTCACCTCCCTCTCCCTGCGCTTGCACACCCACGCACATTCCATGAGCATAGGATCCTTGCCTGTCAAGCCCAGAATTATGTTTGGCCCATGATGATTGCTCAACAGATATGTGATGAATGGATGAATGATGCCTTACTTTTCAACCCTAGCCTTAGTCTCTGGCACTCTTTTGACTTACCACAGCTGCCTCAGTATGACTTGAAAATATGGAATAAATTAGAGGCCTGGTGTACGACATTCGTGCACTGGGGGTGTGGGGGTTCCTTAGCCCGACCTGCACCCTCTCCAATCTGGGAGCCCTCAGGGGAGCCCTCTCCATTCCCAGAGTTTCTGTCTGTCTTTGCAATCATATGAGCGAATTGTCTGAGACCCCAACTCACTTTGGTTTAGTGCTCACAGAATAATAGAGGCTTTTTTTTTTCTTTGCTCCATTGGTGGAGATTTCCTGGAAGTGTTAGGATATCTTCCCTTTCAAAGGTTGAGAACCACTGCTAGTGGCTAAGGAGCTAAGATAGTTACTTTTTATGATTGATTTGATTTAGAAAATCTGCTGAAACCAGCCCAGTGACTGACCTCTTCCCCTAAATCAGTGGTTCTCAACCTTGGCTGCACATTAGAATCACCTGGGAATCTTTTTGAAAATCCTGATTTCTGGGCCTCATCCTCCAGAAATTCTGTTTCTTTGTTATGGGGGGTGAGGCCAACATTAGTAACAAAGAAACAATTTCCAGAGGATGAGGCCCAGAAATCAGGATTTTAAAAAGATTCCCGGTGAGGCTGAGATGGCCCTGGTGAGGTTGAGACGGCCCCTGTGAGGCTGAGATGGCCCCTGGGAAGCCAAGAAAAATACCACATGAACTCACTCATTTATGGATAATAAGGACCATTATAGACTGATGAACAAAAATGGATACAGAGGCAGAGCAGCATCGGGCAGACTGTCAAACTACAGTGGGAAGCCTGGGGAGGGTTGGAGGGAGGGTAGGAGATCAACCGAAGGACTTGTATGCATGCATATAAGAATAACCAATGGACACAAGACATTGGGGGGTGGGGGTTGCCAGGGGAATGTCAAGGAGGGGAAAAAGGAGACATGTGTAATCCTCTTTGTAATACAGTGGGGCCTTGACTTACGAGGGTCCCGACTAACGAGTTTTTCGAGATACGAGCCGTCTCTCGGCCGATTTTTTGCTTTGAGTTGCGAGCTAAAATTCGGGTTCCGAGCCAGCTTCAGATACCCCATCGCTAGTTGGCTCAGCGAACATCACAGTGAACGCCACAACATCAGCCCAGCATCACGTGTCTCACTGGTTCACTTTATGATTTGACATATGAGTAATTTGAGTTACGAGCTCCGTCATGGAATGAATTAAACTCGTAAGTCAAGGCCCCACTGTACTTTAAAAAATTTAAAATAAAAAAAAGTAAAAAAATTAAATAAATAAAAAGATTCCCAGGTGATTCTAATGTGCGGCCAAGGTTGAGAATCACTGGTCTAGGACAGTTGTCAGCAAACTCATTAGTCAGCAGAGCCAAATATCAACAGTACAATGATTGAAATTTCTTTTGAGAGCCAAATTTTTTAAACTTAAACTATATAGGTATGTACATTGTTATTAACTTAATTGGGGTACTCCTAAGGCTTAGGAAGAGCCACACTCAAGGGGCCAAAGAGCCGCATGTGGCTCGCTAGCCGCAGTTTGCTGACCACTGCCCTATAACTTTCAATCTCTGGTGCACGACAGTGTTAAAGACTGTTTCTGACTAATTGGATTAGACAAAGACTCAAAGCCTCCAGAGACCACCTCTGTCTACAGACTAATAGGATTGTGAATCAACCCCAGGCAGTTATCCTCCGGTGTGGCGAGTTTTTTTTCAATAGGGTGGGGCAGTTGCTTCTGCCTGGAGGCCAGTTGTTACTTTTAATCTCTTAAGTGGCCTCAGGGCAAGGTGTTTTCCAATAGAGTGTGTCAACTGTCTTCCCCCCCTGGCAAGGCAAATGACTGTGGGAAAGATGTCCTCCTCGGTGTGAGGGAATGACTCAGCCCAGGAAACTTGGGGTGTCTGCCTTCTGAGCCCTGTCCCCTTAGTCCCCAATCCTGGGTTCTGCTCTCACAGCTCCAGTCCGCTTCACCCTCCCTCTGCCAGAGCACTAGGTAGATGGCTCCACCGGGAATTTTTGTGCATTGGCCCTTTAAGAGGGTTCTTGAGCTTTCAGTTCCACTCCCTGGCAGACAGCACCCCACTGCTTTTCACAGCCAGATGTTATGTGGGTACCTTCCTCAGTTTGGTGCTCTCTGCTGGAGAGCCCAACTTCGGGATTAGATCCCAGAGTTCTCAGTGGCACCCCCTTCCCCACCCACAGCTGAGATATCTCTCTGGGATTTCAGTTGCCGTCTGTGGGTGCCTGGCCAGCTTTTTCACGCCTCCGCCCCTCCTCCCAGTCTCTATGGGGTCTCTGCCGACATTTTTAAAAAAAATTAAATCTTTATTGTTCAGATTATTATAATTGTTCCTCTTTTTTCTCCCCATAGCTCCCCTCTACCCGGTTCCCACCCCACTTCCTGTCCTTCCCCGCTCCCCATTGTCCTCGTCCC